GGAAGACGCAGGGTGTCTAGGTCCTTTGGCTACGCGGACGGGGTCCAGGTATTCAGTAATTTCGGGGCAGGGCCTCCATTTCATTAAGGGTCCCCTAGGTTAAGGACCGGGCTCCTAGGCAGGGTCCTAGGGAGCATATTCACAGATGATGAAGATGATGATGATGATCATTATTATTGTGATGATGACACGAAAGCAGACGATTATGATGAGAGAACTTTGTTATTCGTTGATGGTGATGATACTTCTGATGGTTACGAATGCCATTGCCGAATGTAGAGTTGTTAGATTGCTGGGCATGCAGGAACCACAAAACTGTGAAAGTATTCATCCAATCCAAGCAGCAGTTTTTGCAATAAAACGCTTGTACTTCCTTCTTCCGTCCTAAACCCAAAGCTCTCAACTCTACGCCCGAAAACCTAAACTTGCCAGCTCACGGCTAGACTGTATACAGGATTGTCTGAACATGTCTGAACCTTAGGGGTACCTCTCTTTGACTCCTGAACGTTTACTGAGTTTACTCATCCACATCTCGGCGGCAACGGGGCCCTTCGTTGAGACATCTGGACATCAGGACTTGCACTGGCACGCGCTCCACCTTTTAGCCATTGGCTAGGCTCCTTGTCTGACCAGCACTTCACAGCACATCCTCTCTTTCTCTTACATATCCCCTCCGTCTGGGCTTACAATACCAGAGCTCCTTTCTGCCTTTATCCAAGGCAGCGATCATCAAGTTGAGTCAGTCACTGACCATTGAAACTGTAGTATCAACAGCTGGGAGCTCTGCGCTACCCCCTACGCATGAATCTTCCCAGTGTAGTGTAATTAGTACAAGTAGTCACATGTTAGGCCAGCATTGATTCCTTACTAGGGTTTTGGGGGTAGCATTCTGGCAGGGGCAGGCCCAGGGCCCCTCGCGGCTCAGAACTCACGCTTGCAGGATCTCCTCCGCGCCCAAACCGGAGGAGTCCGAGAACCTGGGATCTGCAATGGGAAACTTTGCATGAAGACTCAGCCGTCGGCAAGGTGGCAACTTCTCTCATTGGAACACTGATTCTAGATGGACCCTACACGTGCACATGTCTTGCTTGCACACACAGGTGCTGCTCAGAAAAAACAACTTTGATTTCACTTTGGAAAATCCCTCCCACCCGAATTTGCACCATGACTCCTCTATGCATCAAAGCCTACCCTTACCAAACTTGAACGGAACCCTATGTAGCTCCTTGAACCCTTGTGGGGCGTCCATGTTAGTTTGGGGTGGGGTATGTCCAAGCAAATGCAACATGTTGGAAGCTGAAAATTTGAAGATTTGGAGTCTCGAGAAGGGGTAGCTTCCAAAGGCCAGTGGTCTGAAGAGATAAGCAAAAATATACATCAAACTTGGAAATGGTTCATGCCTTCGAAGAATCTTTCTGGCAAAGTCTGACGGATGAGTACCATGCTTTGGAGAACCTCCCAAATCTGGCTGAGGTGCAAATGGAACTGCACCAGCCGTCCCACTGTGAGCTCAGTGACGCCGACGAGGTCAGCCTGCGCTTAGCGTGTGGGTATCGGGCTTTGGGTAGGTTTGGGGCCTTGATCCAGGGCCACACGGGAAACAAAACAGGCCCTCTTTGGATGTATACAGATGTTCGAGCGAAGGAGTGCGACACGTCTGGCATGCAGGCACCGTATGCAAATGGAAGCCGGAAGACTTCAACCCTTCTAGTGAGCAGCATTGCAATGCCGAAACAGGAACCATCATGTATTGCGTTGTGCTGCAGAAGTAACTCAGAAACAAGAAGAACCAGCATTATTAAGATTCTTCGTGGACATTCAGGTCCAGTGATTTGGCAGCCATAGCACCCATGTTATCCACCACATTACACCAGCATCATCCCTGTCATCCATTCCGTCCTTTCTTTCAGAGTTCCAAGGAGAGTGCGGAACGAAAGCTGCGGGCTGCACTCTTAGTGTGAGAGAAAGGCTTGCGAAACTACAGGCCTCTTGCTCTAGCATTACAAGGACTACATGAAGATCAGAAATTCATGAGGACATCGTGGAGGACTTTTCGGTGTTGGAGCATCTCCTAATAAGTAGTGCCAGGATAAACATTCTTCTATTTGGGTATGACAAGCTCTGGTTGGGGGACGTCGCCGGGTAGCCATGAACTGTCCTTACATCATACTTATGATGTCTGTGATGGACCTTACGATGCCAGATCCTTTTAGCCCCTGCTTCAGCCCGGACAGCTGAACCTCGACAAAGATTGAAATACCCATTCTTCTGGAAGGTGCCGCAAGAAGAAAGCGCCTGATAGCAACTGCCATTGACTAACTGACCAAAAGTCGCTACCCTTGAAACCTAAAACCTTAAACGTTGAATCACTACTACCCTAACCCCTGTGCTCCCCCAGTTTGTGCAGCAAAGCCACCACACTCGCAAAGATCTTGCCGCCATGCCTTGCTGCCTGCATAAGGAAGAAATACCAAAGGACCCTAATCCCCAAGGACCCCAAGGGTTTAGGGTTTAGGGTAAGGAAGGGTGTAGGGATTAAGCTTACAGGTGCTTAAGGGGGGAAAGGGGAGTGGATCGCCAGAACTATCCCTACATAATCTCCAAGTATACCCTCTATATGCTACGTGGAGTCCCTCCTGTCTCCCCCTTAAGCACCAATACTCTGATGACAATTCCCGATACGCTCCTAGTTTATGTACTGCGGGAAGTATTCAGTGAGAGGCTTGGGTGGTGAGGTTTTGGTGTCTACGGTTCAAGGCTCATGGGGTTGACGACTTGGGGCTTACCCTTGCGGTTCTTAGGGTTTGGTGGTCTAGTAGCTTCAGGAAGTCTTGGAGTCATTACATTCAGAGGGGTTAATTAGGTTTAGGGCGTAGTGCTGCAGAAATCAGGCTCTGTCTAAGACTTGACGATGTTTTTTGCTCTTCCTGTTTTGGCTAGTATGTCTTGCTGACGGCTATCATAGGTTCACCTAAATCAAGAGTCCTTGCACGAGCAGCTGGGGATTGACGCTCTACAAGGCTTGCAGATGGAGACCGTAATAGACTAGCTTGCCGCTCTCTCGAACTCCGCAACTCACTGTTTGAACCCTTTGAATCCCAATGCTTCGTGCTTCAGAATCAGAATCATATTCGGAATATGGCAGGTCATGGAAAGCAACAGCCGGCAGGTCCTTCTCGTGCGTGATAGGTTCCTGCGGCTTGAGCCATCCGTACCTTGGATGAAGAACCATTTGCACCCACATGCATGACGAGTTCCATCAGGGGGTCTCAAACAAACTCTGCTAGTTTGGAAACCTACATTTGGCTTCGCCTCAATCGGCGACGCTCAACTTCTACTTTAGGAACACTTGTTTCGGTATTCTAATGTTGAGCTTGGATGCTTGCCCTTCCACTCGATGACCTCCCCGATCATTGGGGACTCGGAAATTCTTTCCTCATTTGCCGGTGGCATGCAGTCCAGCACATCAAATCTTAACTTCGAGCAAGAGGTAGAAACTTCTGAAACAGGTCAACTGTAAGATAACCTTGAAACGAGAGGAGGGGAAGAGCTTGACATGGGGGACCTGAGCTACGCACCCTCGGCAAGGTGTGGCCTTTGCCACGGTTCGGGTTCTTGCCCTTGCCCTTGCCCTTCATGCCTCAGGCAGCGCCCAACCCCCTGCTAGCTTCAAGACAGGCATCTGACATACAAAAGGCCCATACATCCAAATCATGATCGGCCACAATTTGGCATGGAGCGGCAGAACCCATGTCTGCGTAGAATGCTGGCGGCAGCCAACTAACGACATCTGGATCTGGGGAAGTGGCCTTTCATGAACTGCATCATCATCGCCCTTGGAGGACGTCTTGAAGCATGTCTGCAGCATTTGATACTTAAAGGTCTGCCAAAAAAATCGAACTAGCCCCAAGAGAAAACCAACACCCTGCAACTCATGTCTTTATTAGTTCATACCTGGGAAATCTTGAATGCTTCTTACATTAGTTCAGCCTACCTTGGAAGTGTGGTCAGAAAAGTTCAAGGGCCACACACTTGACAACCCAACTTCAAAATCATCCCAGCTGCTGA